AAGTCCCCTTAACCTGCCAGGAATGAAAGAAATAACCACAACATATTCTTTGACAGAAATTCCACTTTTTTAGGAATTTTACTAGTTTTTAATATTATTTTAATATTCTTTGGTACCCTAGGATGGCAGTGGTTATAGCAGTGTCACAGAAGCAAGAACTTTACAATGAAAGAGGAAGGAATAAGTTGATGTCCAACTGGGTATGAAATAAAATTCTTTGATGTTTCATGTTTCTTAATGAGGGAAAAAGAAAAAAAAACTGTAACAGAGCTGAATCCCTACTGTATCCTTGAAGACTTTTATCTTTGAAGGTAAAAATCAACTCTGTAATAATAGTGTTGACTTCAGCAGGTATCTCCTTAAGGTTATTAATAAGAAATTCCACTTTTTTAAATGGACATAAACTTACAGAGTTTTTTCTGACACTCTTTACACAAAGAACATAAGAGGATACAAATATTTTTACAATTCACTAGGATGAAAAGAAACATACTTCTCTTGACCAGACAAAACAGAACCCAAGGGCAATAACTGGATCAACCTAGGCTCATCTTCCTGTAGAAAAGTGGAACAATATATCAGGAAACCCATTACTCAGAGAAAAAGCTCTACCTAGAGGAACTCTTCCATATGGGCAAAAGGAGCCATATTTAATGATTCTTCAGTTATGATTTCAAAAAACAGAAACAAGTCGAGTCCATAAACAAGGGAGAGAAAGAAATTGGATAATTCAAACAACAGAAGTTCACAGATAATCTGCTATAAGTAATATAATATTGGAAAATTGATAACATGGTATTACAGTTAAATTATGACCTAGTTTTAAATTGCTAAACCTTTAAAAACAGTTTAAACGTGATCCCTGTAAGGATAACCATGAAATTTTTCAAAGAAATAGATGAAGCACTCCTGAAATTCATATGGAACAACAAATGCCCACGAATAGCTAAAGCAATTCGTGGGGAAAAGACATGGGGAGGCATTACCCTCCCCAACCTCAAACTCTACTACAAAGCGGTAATAATTAAAGCAGCATGGTGCTGGAACAAAGCCAGGGCCTCAGACCAATGGAACAGGGTGGAATACCTGTACACACAACCCCAAATGTATGAACATCTAATCTTTGATAAGGGAGCAAGAAATGTGAATTGGAACAAGGAAGGCCTCTTCAACAAATGGTGCTGAAATAACTGGACAACCACATGCAAAAAATTGGCTTAGACCTCGACCTAACATCATGCACAAAAGTCAGATCAAAATGGATTAAAGATCTCAACATCAGGCCAAAATTCATAAGATACATTGAAGACAAGGTTGGCAAAACCCTCCATGATATTGAGGCTAATGGTATCTTCAAAGATGACACTCCACTGACCAACCAAGTGGAAACAGAGATAAACAAAAGCGACTATCTTAAATTAAGAAGCTCCTGCACCTCAAAAGCTACAATAACCAGAATACAAAGACAATCTACAGAATGGGAAAGGATATTCGTCCAATACACATCTGATACAGGGTTGATACCAAGGATACACAAAGCACTGGTTGAACTCTACAAGAAGAAAACATCTAACCCCATCAAAAAATGGGGTGATCATGGTGTCTCCCCTGCCAGGTAAGTATGCCTCCTTTGCAGACCACAACACCCAAAAGAAGAGAGAGAACACAAGGGATTGCCCTGCCACAGAGTCAGGGTGGGATGGGGGGGATGGGGGTGGGGGGGGATATTATCCATGGTGGTGGAAAATGGGCACTGGTGGAGGGATGGGTATTTGACCATTGTATAATCGAAACCCAAGCACAAAAAAATTGTAAATCTACAACTGTACCTCATGGTGTTTCACTAATAATAAAAAAAATGGGGTGATGAAATGAACAGAGACTTTCCCAAAGAAGAAATCCAAATGGCTAAAAGGCACATGAAAAAATGCTTTACATCACTAATCATCAGGGAGATTCAGATCAAAACAACAATGAGACATCATCTCACACCACAGACACTGGCCCACATTCCAAAGAACAAAAACAATCAGTGCTGGAGTGGATGTGGTGAGAAAGGGACTCTCCTTCACTGCTGGTGGGAATGCCAACTGGTTCAGCCCTTTTGGAAAACAGTATGGACGATTCTCCAAAACTTAGAAATTGAGCTCCCATTTGACCCAGCAATACCAATCCTTGGAATATATCCTGGAGAGGCAAAAATGTACAGTCGAAATGACATCTGCACTTCTATGTTCATTGCTGCACTACTCACAATAGCCAAAATCTGGAAAAAAACCTGAGTGCCCGAAAACAGATGACTGGTTAAAGAAACTTTGGTACATCTACACAATGTAGTGCTATGCAGCTCTTAGAAAAGATGAAGTCACGAAATTTACATACAAGTGGTACTAAATGGAAAGTATCATACTAAGCGAAATGAGTCAGAAAGAATGGGACAGACCTAGAAAGACTGCATTCATCTGGGGAATATAAAGTAACAAAATGGGAGACTAACACCCAAGAATAGCCAAGATTAGTACCAGGAGGTTAACTCCATGGCTTGGAGGACAGCCACACATGCTGCGGAAGAAGGCAGCTCAGATAGAGAGGGGAGCATCAAGTAAAGGGTGTTGGGAGAATCCTCCCAGGATGAGAGTTGCATGCTGAAAGTAGACTACAGACTGAACATGATTGCCACTCAAAGCCTCTTTTGCAAACCACAGCACCCAAAAGGAGAGAGAACAAAAGGGAATGCCCTGCTACAGGGGTGGGGTGGGGGGGAGTGGGGGTGGGAGAGATGCTGGGAGCATTGGAGGTGAGGAATGGGCACTGGTGGAGGGATGGGTACTCTATGATTGTATAACTGAAACCCAAGCACAAAAATTTGTAAGTCTACAACTGTACCTCAAGGTGTTTCACTGATAAAAGTTTTAAAAAAGGAAAATAGTAAAAAAAAAATACAGTTGAGTGAAAATGTAAGTTGTAAAGGGATATATTTATTCTGACACTTACATAATTTACAATACATAAAACAGTAATGTATGTTGGTTACAGACACAGAAATATTTGTAGAAAAGGCAAAACATGGACAAAGAGGGGCTGGAGCAATAGCACAGCAGGTAGGGCGTTTGCCTTGCACGTGGCTGACCCAGGTTCTATTCCCAGCATCCCATATGGTCCCCTGAGCATCACCAGGGGTAATTCCTGAGTGCAGAGCTAGGCATAACCCCTGTACATCGCTGGGTGTGACCAAAAAAGAAAAAAAAATGGGCAAAAAAATAACAACTTCCAAACGTTACTTCTTTGGCAAACAAAAGTAGTATGAATAGAATAAAATGAATGAAAGTTTCAAGTATAGTATTTTATTTCAAATCAGGATTTGAGGATCTAAAAAACCCCGAATATCCTCAAAAAATAATAAAAACAAATATCCTCAATCCGTTAGGTGCATGTAAATGCACATTTTCTAATATACTTTGTAATATGTTTGAAACATTTAAAATAATTTTAAGAAAAAACATTCTCTCTGAGTTACCAGAAATCATAATTAGATCAGGCTTATTTTGTTTGCTATTCAGTCTTTTTATATCTTTATTTTTTTCAGTCTGTTTGATCATTACTATAAGAAGTATGGTTAAATTTCCAACTATAATTGCAGACTTTTTGATTTTAACAATATTTCCTCATCTATTTGGTAACAACATTGTTTGGGTATAAGTTTTAGTGTCTTTTCTTTCATCATCTTCTTGATGAACAAAACCCCCTGTTGTTTTCTAGTAAATGCTTTTTTTACTTTGAGTTTTTGATTTTTCTCATAGTAACATTGTTAAGTTTATTTTTAAAAGAATTCCTCCCTTCCCCTCCCCACCTTACCTACCCTTTCAGTTCGTACTCGACTGCTACATAGTTTCCATTCCTTTAGATCAAACTCACAAACTGCACGTACTGGATTTCTAATATGAAAATACTCAAAATGAGTTTGCTTCTATACAAAAATGTGAGATGTTAATCCATGTTACAAATTGATATGTTTGAATTAATTCCACTTTTTAACATCCTGTTTCATTACATCCTATCCCATTTCATTCCTTTATTAGATTGCTTGCTCTATATTATATATATTATTACTTGTGGGGGTAAGCCCCACTGTAAGGAGTTGAGGGGCAAGTACACATCTCCTAATTTGGCGGTGAGGACCACTCCTCATGGTATTCAGAAAACCAAGCAGTGACAGGAATCAATCATAGAGCTTCCACATGCAAATCATAATGGGGGAGAAAGCATGTGGGACTCCCAGTTCAATCCATTGTCCCTAAAGGACAGGTGAAGACCCAAAACCAAAATAAAATAAAATTATTACATCCTGTTTCTACAATGTTGTAACCCTTAAATATTTTCTTCTTCTATAATGAATTTATTTCCAGTAAGTCGAAAGCTTTGCTTTTGTATGAATAAGGAAATATTTACATTCTATGCCAGTATCAAAGACACATAAAGCACAACTTTAAAAATGACCGAGTTCAGTAAAATTGAATAAAGAATGTTTTAAAACTGTAATACAATTGCCAAAACGTGGGCCTGTCTTGTGCCACATGGTTGATCTTTTCTTTCATATAGAGACGCTTGATTTTCTTAACAGCAACAAGGTCAATTTGCTTCAACTAGCAGGTTAAAATAATTCGGGTTTACATTGCATTTTGGTATGTCCAGTACAAATACATCATGTATTAAGATATAACGTACTATATTGAATATTAAAATAATTGAGTTTCATCTTGAAGTTAATCTGAAAGAATGTGCAGATTTTGTCTCATTTTTTAAAGCCCAGAAGGTTCTCTGGTTAGAGGTTTAACATTTGTTAAAGCTCGCTGGAGGTTGCATATTTTTCTACTCTTTTCGGTATCCTTGCCGATTTCATGATTTCGAACGTAATAACATTTTGAGGGACAACCCGGTTAGCCGAGGCCTGGAGCCTCCTCCCCGCGCAGCCACATCAAGGGGCGGGCACAGCCTACGCCACATTCACTTCCGCCGTTGCAGTCGCCGCCCGCCTCGCTGCTGTCTGGCAGGGGAGGAGCCGGAGACTTGCGAGCCACGACTCTGGCTGTCGAGGTGGTCTGAGGTCCGCCCGAGAGCTCTGCTCCTTGCAAGATCTTGCCGGTGTCAGCACGGGGTGAGTGAAAGGCCATTTATTTCCTCGATTCAACCAAAATGGTGGGACGGCCAAGCCGCGGGGTTTAGAGAGTGAGACCGGGGTCGCGGGGGCGAGGATTTGGGGAAGGGGGGTAGCGAAAATTTTCCAGCTCGTCCCCCAGGAAGGAGTGGGGCAGATTTGGAATCTAACGTTGCGCTGCTTGAGGCCTGTGCCCTCCTGAGAACTGTTTGGGGTTTCATCCTCCGTTTCCCAGCCCTGTTCCTGTGGTGAGCGCCCCCACCCCACCCCCACCCCCACGCCACCCGGGCCCCTTCCATCTGGCCTAGGGATTCATTCTCGCTGTTCAGTAGGGGAATGGTGGTCGCAGTCCTCACCGGCCTCCCTCCCTCTGCTTCTCCTCCCTTCGTCCTCTTAATTCCTCAGACCCTTTGCTCACTGTTCCGTGCCAGTCCTTCCTTCATTTTGCATCCTTTTGCTGAATAGTAAAATGTTCAGATTTTTTCTCTGGTAAAGATATTGTTCCCAGTCAGAGGATTGTCAGAAAAACAAATTAATGTCAGGGAAAATCATATTGCCACACACATTTTTCTTTCTTTTTTGCCCCTTTCCGGTCACATTGATTTGGATCAGATCTGCAGATCCGCAGTTTGAGCTGATAACATTCCCCTGTACCTCGTTATGACATCGCAGCCCCTCCTCCTCCGCCTCATAGTTCGAGTATGCGCACAGGGACACATACGTACACATAACCACACATGCAGAGGAACTTTACACTGAAGTCCCAATCCCTGTCCTCATAGGGAATGATTCCCTGTCTCACTGCTATCCATGCCTGCATATACATATGCATACACATACTTTCCCACACCCTGTCACTTATCACGTCTTCCAGCACACAGATGCACACACAATTCTCTGTGTTTCCCCTGACACCTGCCACTTACATATTCTCAGGACTGACCCACACCTTTCTCTGCCTATGTGTCTTCTGGCCAGTACCCACAGGACTTGGCACACGGTACCCTCCAGAATCAAATTACCGTCACTGCAACATACACATATAAGGACATCTTTTGATTTCTGGCTCCTCTTTCATATACCACTTAAAGATATGTGCACCCAACACACACACACACACACACATACACTCCTTCACATACTCTCTCTCAAATGCTCCCCTGATTTGTTCCCTACCTGTCACGTGTGTGTTTAGACTGTCCTGTTATCTGTACCATGTGCGCACTCACATAAATCTGCCTCCGGGGACACCTCTCCCTTCTGCTCACCACATTTATGTGTTCAGACATCTTTGATTGGTGGACCCTGTGCTGCCTGCCACATGCACATCCCTCTGCAGTACTGTTGCTGCCTTCTCATCACTGTGTATATTCACACAGATCCATTTTGACCAACACAGGCACACAGAGTCATGGACACCCTGTTCAGTGGCAACATACCCTTCTATGTCCTCTACAGGTATCATTCCTCTAGTGAGGAAGCTGTCGCACATGCATCTGTACACACATTCTCTCCTACTACTTCCATATACCCTTTCTCTTCTGAAACCACTCTGCTCACCCCTGTCATATCATACACACATCCAGAATAGATCTTGTTCTGGCTGATGCTCACACCTCTTCCCCAACCTACTCTAATATGGCCCTTCCCCAACAAACACAGATACATTTCTCCATTGCACAATTGCTAGGTCCTTCTTTTATCTGCCTATCCTCCTCACAGACACAAAGACACTCATGCACATGCAGTGCTCTCTGTTTTCCACCCTATTCCAATTTGCATTTCTCCTGCATGTCTGCAGTGCTCAGAAAAATGCAGACGCCCCATAAAAATCTCCCACAGCATTATTTTCTTCGTTTACACACTCTACTTGGTACAATTCCATGTAGCTCACCCACCTTCCAAGCATCTAGTCACCTAAACCTTCTGTCAGGATCTCACCTAAACCTGACTTTCCTACAAACTCACTTTTGTAGTTATTTTTGGCCAATATTTTAATGTGACTATCACTGGAATGTTTCTGAAGGCCTTAGAAGAAAGAAAAACTAATTTTTCCTGTCCTTTTTACCTGCCTATTGAAGGGAAAATGAAATCTCCCTGCTTCTAATTCGCAGATTTAACTTTCGCAAGTCCAAAGTATGTTTAGGGAGCCCAAGCCTTTCCACTCTAGCCCTGGCTGTACTGGAAACCTTCCTAGTCAGCAGTAGGTCAGGTACCTAGTAAGCCTGTGTGCTCCAAGTTAATATCAGCTCAATGTAGGGTAGGAGGTGTGGAAGAAAGCATTCTTATGTCAGTTGCAGGTAATCCATGAGCCAGAGGGAAAGGATTTCCAGTCAAAGGCAGACAACTTCCAAAGCGCCGATGTACAGATCAACCCCCAGCCAAACCAACAAGAGGAGCCGATCGCCATTTTCTACCACACGTCGGAGATGGGATGGCAGCACAAGCTCGGGAAGCAGCCTGAATGTTGATGATGAGGACTGTTCCAGGTACCAACCAAGAGAGTACCGTGCTTCAGGTAGCAGAAGAGGATTGACTTATGGACATGTTGACTGTTTGGGGGCAGATGATAGTGAGGAGGAGGGGGCTGGGCCTGGTGAGATTGTGCCGGTGAGAGGGAAGACTGGCAAGTTTAAAGATGAGAATCTGTATGATCAAGATAAAGGTGTGAGGTCTTTGCCTGGTGTGACCACACAGTTTTCTGATTTTAACCATGATGTGAGAGAGGAGCTTGGCAAACTTGACCCAGATCCTGGGGCAAGATGCTCTACCAGTAGGGCTGAGTTCCTGCAACAGAATAGAATGGGGTCACAGGCCCACATTGAAAGCAAGATAGCCACAAATAGCCATGTTGAGAGGGAGAGATGGGTACAGAATGTACCCATCTGCCCCAGCAGGGCTCCTGTAAGTATTTGTGGTGGTGGGGAAAACCCCCAACAGAGTTCAGAAGAACCGGTAGTGAGACCCAAAGTCAGAAATCTAGCCAGCCCAACCTGCATAAAGCCAAAAGTATTCTTTGATACCGATGATGATGATGATATGCCACATAGTACTTCTAGGTGGAACAACACTGATGAAGGCCGCTCAGATGGCTTAGCAAGAAGAAGCAGAGAAGAAAGTTCAATTAGCTACTCTGAGCTGAAATACCCCGAAGACAAGAGAGATGGCAGAAATGAGCAAGTGAAGCCAGAAAAATTGCAGAGACAACGTCGATCCATGGCTGACCCTGATTTCTGGACGCACAGTGATGACTACTACAGATTCTTTGAGGAGGATGATGATGATGACGATGACTCCGATAGTGATAGAGAATGGATTGAGGCTCTGCGACAGAAATATCGAGTTCGTGGGCACACTCTGTCCTCCAGTGGTGGAAGTTGGGAAACTCTGCCAGGGAGAGAAGAACCTGAACCTGATCAAGCCAGAGTGAATACCAGTACTGGTGACACCCCCAGTGCCACTGATGCTTCTGGCAGCAATGTCAGCAGTGAGCTCACAGAAGTTCAAACACCTCTTCAGGAAGAACAACAGGCATCCCCAGAAGGTGAAATCCCTTGGCTTCAATTTAATGCACATGAGAGCAGCAGTGAGGGTGAGAATGATTCTGGTCAGGATCTTTTGCAGTCTGGAGTATTCATGCTTGATGGAAATAATAACCTTGAAGATGACTCTAGTGTCAGTGAAGACCTTGAAGTAGATTGGAGCCTCTTTGATGGGTTTGCAGATGGTCTTGGGGTGGCTGAAGCCATTTCATATGTGGATCCTCAGTTCCTTACATATATGGCTCTCGAAGAACGCCTGGCTCAAGCTATGGAAACAGCACTTGCTCACTTGGAATCTCTGGCAGTGGATGTAGAGGTAGCAAATCCGCCAGCAAGCAAGGAGAGCATCGATACTCTCCCTGAAATTCTAATCACAGAAGATCACACCACAGTGGGAGAGGAAATGTGCTGTCCAATATGCTGCAGTGAATATGTGAAGGGAGAGGTGGCAACAGAGCTCCCTTGTCACCATTATTTTCACAAGGCATGCGTTTCTATCTGGCTTCAGAAGTCAGGCACCTGTCCTGTGTGCCGCTGCATGTTTCCTCCCCAGCTGTGAGGCCAAAGCTCTTTACTTTGGTCTGATGATGGTTTTCCCCATCTGAAAAATCCACCATACTGCAGGAGCCCTTTCAGAATTAACAATTAAAATCAAATCAGTCGATTAATATACAACTGTTGATTCCTTGTGATTTCTATTGTGAAAGGAGTCTTGTGTGTACTATTTCATTTAAAAATCATATGATCTCTTAGGAGTTAGAAGGGAAAATTAAACTTTCAAAATTCTACTTGGAACTTCAAAAATAGGGTCTGTTTTCTAACCTGAAACATTGAAATAAGTTCAGTTGTTTTCTTCAGTAGAATATATTGCTGTTAACTGTAAGGTCAAGTTTATCTGTTAACAATGTCCAAATGGTATCATCATTTCTGTTGCATGTTAAGGATTAATGTTCCTGTAATACCAGTGCCGTAAATTCTTATTAAAGGTCTTTTGGTTTTACACTGTATGGTGGATTGTTTGACTTTGTCTAAAGTGATGCTACTAGGTGGCCTTATCAATCCTAGGCATTTGGATCAAAAATAGGCCTTTTGGTGTTTCCAATAGTAGAAACGTTTACTTTTGCTGGAAATGCTGATTCAGTGACAAAAAATAAGGGAAATAATTTTAAAAGTAGGATCAAAGTGCAATTTTTAAGCTATCATGAGGAGGATGGAAAAATCTACCAGTCTATGGAATGGACAGAAACAGAACAAAAGGTAAAAGAAAGAAAAATTGTAGAAATAAATCTAAACTGAATGTCACAGTAAAGAGGTTAAAGCCACCTTGTAGAAAATAGAAACTTACAGGGAATGGGCTAAAAAGAATAAAGCAGCATGCCAATTATATACTTTAACACAATAACAGAAGTGATTCAACAACCTGTGCTAGACTGTGCTGAGGAAAAGAAAGGTATCCACCCACCTACACAGTGTGAGCAGTTTTAACATTGGCCGTGTTAACCTCAGACCTTTTTACCTTCTATCAGTGGACTCAGGCACAGGTGAGGTTTCTCATTTGCCTTCCTTACAAAAGTAAGTATTACCCAGGATTAGCATGTTTAGTGCTTGTTCTTTTTTAGACTTGGTGTATGTATATGTGTATGTGTGTATATATGTATATATTCATAACTAATATAAAGCATCTGTTTCTTAAATAGTATTGACAAAATGTCTTGTGATATAACATGATTTTTTTCACTCAATACTTCTTGAGATTTCACTAGATACCTACAGATACACCTAGTTCATACGTTTTAATTTCAATATTAATATTCAGTTATGCGAGTCACCCTAACTTACCTGTTTTTGGTATTTTTTGTAAATGAAGATGCTCACAAGTTGTCTCTTTGGGCACATGTGTGAGTTTCTTTGGAGGTAAGTATATGGAGATAAAGTATCTGGCAATATCAGTATCTTCACCCCACTAGGAAATGCCAAACTGCTTTCCAAAGTGATCATATTAACCCATGCTCTTACCTGCATTTTACGAGAACTGTTTTCCCATAAAGGTTTTCCCATAGCTCTACAGACTAAAAGGTAAAGGCCCTCCCGTTGATCGTCGATTTGCTCGAGCGGGCCCAGTAACGTCTCCATTGGAGACTTTTTTGTTACTGTGTCTGGCATATCGAATACTCTCGGTAGCTTGCCGGGCTCTCCAGCTCTACAGACTGGATATGGTTAATGTTCAACCTCACTGGCAATCAGAAACATGTAAATTACACAACAATGAAATATATTTTGTCCATCAGAAAGCAATAGATTTTCTTTCTGATAATGTCGAGAGTGAGTGAGGCAGAGAAAAAATGAAGACATTTATGCTATTGCTGTGAATGTAACCAATAGAAGCCTTTGTGGAGAGTGGTTTGGGTAGGAGCTTTACAAGTGTAAAGTGGATCATGTTCTGCCTGATTGTACTTGGGTGGTATGGAATACTACTGTACAACAGTTGAAAACTGTATGTACTGGTACTGAAATATCTCTCATACATAATGTTAAATTTTGGAGAAAAAAGGTATTGTAGAGTGCCACATATAGTCTTTGTGTAAAGTAAAACCTTACAAAAGGAAACATATGCAACAACATATGTAAATGCATAACTACATACCTAGTGATGGCAGTTACGTCTAGAAAGAATCAAGTGGTTGGGGGGAGAAACCAAGAAAGGGGCTTTTATTTTTTTCACCTAAAATAATTTGCTTGGCTTTTTCATAGTTTCCAGTGAATTTTTAGGAATATTAACAGGATACATTTTTTAAAATCCAGAATGGAAGAGATAGTTTAGGGATTAAGGCCTGTAGCTATCTCTGGTTCTATTCATGGTCACTGCATATGGTTCCCTGAGCACCACTAGGAGTGTTCCCTGAACACCAAGCCAGGAGTAAGCATTGATCACAGCTGGGTATGACCCCCCAAAACATCCCAAGTTAAAAAAGGAATAAATTGAATTACTGCAAGCATGGAAACCAGGGTGGAAACTGCCGTCTTTTCCCCTCAACAGGTTAAATTGATATTTATAGCTTCCCCCCCCCCCCACACACACACACACATTCTTTGTTAACTTGGCCTTCAGCCAAGTCCTCAGCTGTCACAGAGGCTCAGAAGTCTGTGACCTTGAAGAGCCCCTTTGGGTGGGACTGTAGTGGTTGGCCTAATACACAGCTTTGCTGTGCACCAATGGGCACTATGTCAGGAAGCTTTTAGGGGCAACTTTGAGTCCTGCTCAACTTCCTACTCCCTTTAATAGAAAAAGCCCTAACTTACCCTGGAGTTACAGTGAGTAAATCCCCCAGAAGGGGATCCTCTTCCACTGGGCTTTCTGCTGGGGCTGTAAAAGCTTGTCTGTAGCAAGAAGCTTCTGCTGGAGGCAAGGTGTCCTGATTGTAGGGCACCCACAAGGGAGATCTGGCTCTCAGAATCTGAACAAATAACATTTGGGCCTATGTCCTTAGCTAAGGCCATTCAAGGCCATCCATATAGTACCTTTTTAAAAATATTTATTTATTTTTCTTTTTGGGACACAACCGGCGATACTCAGGGGTTATTCCTGGCTCTGCACTCAGGAATCACTCCTGGCAGTGCTCGGGGGACCATATGGGATGCTGGGAATCGAACCTGGGTCAGCTGCATGCAAGGCAAATGCCCTACCCGCTGTGCTATCACTCCAGCCCTGACACATAGGGTACCTTAAGTCTGGAGGGAGAAAAGCCCTGAAAGCCCTGGTCAACGTCCTTAGCTGCTCCTTTTGCTCATTCCTGCAAATTTGATTGCCTAGCCTCCCCGTAGCTTTCCAATAAAATTGTTCTGGGTAAATTCGCTCGATTTAGTTTCTCTTGATTGTAACTAAGAACCCGAAATAGAATATTTGCCAATACCATGGCCTGCTTTGTGCTCCTTTTCCTAGTTATTTGAGATATCCCAAATGCCCATGGGTTAGGTGATTTCTTAATGCAGTGTACCCATTTTGCACCTGGAGGCCTGGTTCTAGAGCAGGACTCAAATCCAAAGCAGCTATATTGAGATTAGGTTACTTTCGAGATTTTTCTAAAGTACCACCCTCCATACTACATTTATTGGTTACTGGACTTATTTCCTGGCTCTGGAATAAATAGCTTCATACTTTGATCTTTATTTGGATTATAAATTATTGCCTTTTGCAAGAAAACACCCCAGCATTATGAGGTGCCTTCCATAACAGGAAAGCTAAATTGTTCTTAGGCCCTTTCTGTCTCTAAGGTATCTATTTTCTCAAAACCCCTGGGCCTCTGACCTGAAATACTTTTCAGTCCTGTCAATTTTAACCAGCCTCTCAAAAGTCCTTATCACATACCAGCTTATAAAATGTGTTTTTCTGTTGCCTCTGGTTCTTTCCTCTCTGTGCCCCATCTCTGTGAGTCCTTGAGACCAGGATCTGTATGCCGGAGTCATCTCAATAGTCTTGACACTTAGTAATGGTCTATGTACTAACTTTAACATGTATTAACAGGATAGATAAATGCTTTTCCCAGTGTAGGGTCAAGCTGGGATTGTCCTTGGAAAACACAGGAAGAGTCATAGCAAAGAGTGGAAGTGACACAACTGGATACATCTGACCCAGCCTTAACCTCACTCCTGCCCCAGATTCTGCAAGCCCTGGGCACCCTTTTTTTTGCATCCTATGCTCATCTGTCCTATTTTATGCTCTCTGTTGGATCTTTAGATTTCCCCAGCTGCTATTGGGGCCTGAGATACTGAATAGGAATTTATGATCATCTTGTACCTAGAGAATATGTGATAACTTGCCTCAATCAATTCCTCTTTTACCTGCTTGAATCTATGACAAACACAAAGCTGAGAGGTTATGTTCCTATCTGGCACCATGGAGAAAGCCAGGTTCTAGATCCCCCTTCAGTTTGCCTTGACATTGACATCTATAGAATGGAATTTTGAAGCCTGGTGCATTGCTTCAAGTTTTGGCTGACTTCTGTATACCTCCCATCTTTCCTTTCTCCATTTCACTGTCACAAAGAATGTGGTGGCAAAGCACTAATGAAGGTTCATTATCCCTCACTTAAGGATATGATTTGCATTTGGTGATGTCACTGGATTCATCCATCAGGTCCAGAAGGTGAGTGATACAGAAACTGAGGTTCAGAAAGGTGGTAGCAGTTCTGAGGAGAGAGGAAGAATCCTTGTAGGAAAATGGGATAAGATAGGGGAGGGGGCAGCAGACAATCGGCTCCATGTCTTTCAACCTTGTTTTGATGAGAAGTAGATATTCATCAGTCTGCAGTGTGTGGCACACTGAAGGATCAGCAGAGCAATCATATAGGAGGCACTAAGTGTTTGTTCGGGAGGAAGCAGATAAATGAGGTACAGAATCATGGAAGGCTTCTTCCACAGAAGCTGGGAACAAGGATGGATAGGAGGCAGCATTTGCTTATATTGAGTTGGAGGAATGCGGTTTGAGTCAGGTCTGGGGATCAGCATGAAGAAAAGCAGGGACTGGGCATTAAATGCATGAGGAAAAATTTCCAAGGACCCAGGGGAACCAAGTCAAAGGCACTGCTCAGGCTGGCTCATGCTTGCTTGTATTCAGTAAGTGCATGCCTGCCCACTCAGCACTCAGAGCAGACTCAACATGGACTAGGTTAGTTGAACAAATATTTATTGACCTTCTACCTCTGGTGTGTTGGACAGGGGCCCATAGGATATGAATAAGGCTTAGTCCTTCCCTCAAAGAGCTCATAGTCTAGTGGTGGGAAACAGTATTGTACAGAGAGGATTGCAGTTTTCTGTGGAATACTCTATGGAGGAGCCAACACAAGTTAATCTGGAAGCAAAGAGCCTGACTGACTGTATGGGGAGTGAGGCTGATCATTGGAGATGCTGGGGATGTGGCCACTCCCAAAGCATGAGGGAGGTCCTTCTAAACATTATAAGTGGTGGTGTCAACTGTTTTGTTTGAAAGGTCCTTTAGTGAAATATAT